AGCAATCCAATCACTCTTGATGGCGAAACTCTGGAAGACGTGGAATCCTCCACATACCTGGGAGGCATCGTCGATAAACAAGGAGGTTCAGATGCAGACGTCAAGGCGAGGATTGGCAAAGCTAGAGCGGCATTCCTTCAACTGAAAAACATATGGAACTCAAAACAACTTTCAACCAATATCAAAGTCAGAATCTTCAATACGAACGTCAAGGCAGTTCTACTGTACGGAGCTGAAACTTGGAGAACTACAACAACTACCATCAAGAAGGTACAGGTATTTATTAATAGCTGTCTACGCATGATACTCAACATCCATTGGCCGGATACCATCAGCAACAGCCTTCTGTGGGAGAGAACCAACCAGCTTCCAGCTGAAGAGTAAATTAGGAAAAGACGATGGAAATGGATAGGACATACATTGAGGAAATCATCAAACTGCATTACGAGACAAGCGCTAACTTGGAATCCTGAAGGGAAGCGGAAAAGAGGAAGGCTAAATAACATATAACATCGGGAAATAGAATCAGATATGAAAAGGATGAATAAGAACTGGAAAGAGCTTGAAATGATTGCCCAGGACAGGGTTGGATGGAGAGTGCTTGTGAGCGGTCTATGCTCCTTGACGAGGGGTAACAGGCGTAAGTAAGTAAGTAAGTAAGTAATATTCATACGTTTGATATCTGCCATTGAGTCATTGCACCATGTGTTCATTGGTCTACCGGTTTTTCTTTTATCTTGACGATTCCAAGTTGATGTTCACTTTATGGTGGAGTTCGATGATTTCCATAGTATGTCTTATCCATCTTCACTGTCTTTTCTTCACTTCCTCGTCAATTAGAAACTGCTTTACTCGATGTCACAGTCGATCATTACTTATAGTGTCTGGTCAATGATTCTGACGTATCTTGTATAGACAGTTGTATACAAATACCTGTACCTTTTTTGATGGTGGTTGTAAACACCTCAATAGGAAGATACAAGCAAGACAATACCAAGTGAATTACATTATGTAAGTTTTGACAAAATTAAATTGATTTAGATACTAACTAAACAAACTGTAGATTAGTTTATTTAGTATTACACAATGATTGAATCTTATAGATCAAGTTATAGTATGATTATAAGTTGAAGTGACTTCATATCATGATGCTATTGGTTTTGATAAAAACTAACTAAAAATTGATGAGTTCAGTAGGATTCCATATTATGAGATTTTTATCATCATCATCATCATTAGTTTATTTAAGATTACAGAGGCACCTTTCTCATACGTGCTAAGTAGCACGGAATCTGAATTCAAGGCTATTTTACCTAATATCTTATACCATCTGACATAATTAGACCAGTTTTCATAACGTAAAATAAATGTACAACGTTTTGCAATTTATAGTCAGTTAGTCAGTCAGTAACAACGTAGAACTTCGTACGTACGTACGTACGTACGTACATGAGTTCCATTTGTCATACCACATTAGCACAGAGATGCAGTTGCCGATTCAAATCCCGTAGTGGTAGAGGTAGTAAGAATATAAACTTGCAATTAATTGCCGATGTCATCAGTGCTTGATTTAGGTTTCCCACGAAGATATCTTCCACAACTGGTGCCAATGAATAGCTCTTATAGACTTTATTATTTTGACGAAACATGAAATTATTGAATTGAAATCGGTCGTCCCTTATTCACATCAGTAGAAGTCGTTTAGATTCATCCATTAGTAAATAAAGTAGTTCTACATGTTGACATTTCATTTACATAATTTGATGAGACTATAATTTACGGACGACCTTTTGAACGACGCTAAAGTGATCCTGAAAGTTTCTACCTACTTAATGGGGCTAAATTAGAGATTTAAAGCAGTTTGAACAATAAGGAATCCCATTTACATTTGATGGTTAAGGTTAAGAATTAGATTTTAGAGTTTTCATCATGAACTGACATCAACTATGATGCCAAAATTCTATTTAGTCAAATGGGTGAATGAATTCCGCGCTGAAATTCAAGAACTGTTATCATGAATCTGATTGGTTTCGTCCAATAAATTATAGTCTCACCCATAATGTTTTTTAGTGGGACTATGGTAAATGATAATGACATATCAAACCAATTCATGAGTTTATGAAAGATGTTAACACTTTGTAGTATCGTATAAATTAAAAAAGTATCTTTGAAACTATGAGTAGATAACTTCCCAGTAAATCGATTCTAATTAATTCTGTAACCATCGGGGAAGAATATGAGATGGAGAATTGGTCATCATCTATGAGCTTAATTATATTTTTCATTTTTTACTTCTGTACTATACTCAGTTAGTTTATATTTTGTAAGGATTATACTTACTTACTTACTTGCTTACTTAAGCCAGATACGCTTAATGGAGCATAGACTGCCGACCAGCATTCTTCCTTCGACCTTGAGGATTCCATGTGAGGGCTTGACTTGTGACGCAGTTCAGTGCCTTCCTTAATGTGTGTCCTATCCACTTCCAGTGCTTCTTCCTGATTTCTTGCCCCTCTAGAATCTGGTTTTTTCTCACCCATAGTAGGTTGTTGCTGTTAATAGTGTCTGGTCAACGGATCCGAAGTATTTTGTGTAGACAACTGTTAATAAACACCTGTATCTTTTGGATGATGGATTTCGTAGTTCTCCAGGTTTCCACCCCATACAGTAGAACTGTCTTAACATTTGTATTGAAAATGCTGACTTTGATGTTGGTTGATAGACAGTTGTTTTGAGTTCCAGATGTTGTTCGGTTGTAAATATGCTGCTCTTGCTTTTCTGATCCGCGCCTTCACACCTGCATCAGATCCACCGTGTTCATCAATGATGCTGCCGAAATATGTATCTTCTAAATCTTCTCCGTCAATTGTGATTGGATTGTTGCATGCTGTGTTGTATCGAAGAATCTTGCTTATATAACCTATGAAATACATTTTTAGAATCTATGAAATAGAATGAATTCGATAGTGATCTGCCATGATTGTTGTTTGAATACTTGGTTGAAATTTAAAAGTGTGAAGTATTCTATGCACATAAATGATCATTTTCAATAAACGAACTTTAGAAAGATAATTAGCTTTAAATTTCTTAAGAAGACTAAGCTTCCTCATTGAAACCAACTGAATATTTCCGCTACAGAGTATAAATGAACGTAACACTGTTGTCACAGTTACTAGTTATTATTGATACTTTCACTATGTAATTTATTCTTTTATATTATAAATTCTATTGTTTGATATAAAGGTAACTATGGATAATTGAAAAGAAACACTTAAAGTAAATTTCATGTCGGCTGTCATTCTTTATTTATATAATTCTGTAATCTATATACCACCCAGATTTATTCATTCAATAAAACTGCTTAAAATATGATATCTAAAGATGAAAATATTCTGTGAAGTTCAACGGTGTAACTATCATTTATAAAGGACGAACCAATCACGTATAAGATGAAAGGTCTTGGAATTTGGCGTGAAATTCATTCAATCATTTTGTTAAATGGAGTCTTGGCATTATAGCTGATGTCAATACGTGATAGACAGATGCATTCCAAGTTAGGACCGGAGTAAGACATGGCTGTCTACTCTCTCCGTTCCTCTTTCTTCTGGTGGTCGACTGGATTATGAAGACCTGAGGGATCTGAGAGAAAACAAGGAATACAATGGATAGCTCAAAACCAATTAGACGATTTGGACTTCTCAGATGACCTAGCCCTCCTATCACATACACACGAACAAAAGGAGATAACGACAACCAGCGTAGTAGCAGTCTCCGCATCAGTAGGCCTCAACATACACCAGGGGAAAACCAAAGTTCTCAAATATAACACGGAGAACAGCAAACCAATCACTCTTGATGGCAAAACTCTGGAAGATTTGGAATCCTTCACATACTTGGGAAGCGTCATCGATGAACAAGCAGGTTCAGATACAGACGTAAAGACAAGGATTGGCTAAACAAGGGCCGCATTTCTTCAATTAAAGAAGATATGGAACTCAAAACAACTGTGTGTAAGCTAATATCAAAATCAGAATCTTCAATACGAACGTCAAGGCAGTTCTACTGTACGGAGCTGAAACTTGGAGAACTACAACAACCACCATCAAGAAGGTACAATTATTTATGAATAGCTGTCTACGCACGATACTCAACATTCCACTAGCCGGATACCATCAGCAACAGCCTTCTGTGGGAGAGAACCAACTAGCTTCCAGCTGAAGAGTAAATTAGGAAAAGACGATGGAAATGGATAGGACATACATTGAGGAAATCATCAAACTGTATCACGACACAAGTCCTAACTTGGAATCCTGAAGGGAAACGGAAAAGAGGAAGGCTAAATAACACATAACATTGTGAAATAGAATCAGATATGGAAAGGATGAATAAGAACTGGAAAGAGCTTGAAAGGATTGCTTGGTACAGGGTTGGATGGAAAATGCTGGTGAGCGGCCTATTCTCCTTCATGAGGAGTAACAGACGTAAGTAAGTAAGCAGTACGTGATGAAAAACCTAAATCTAATTTCTATATATAATCATCAACTATAAGTCATAATTCGGATTCCTCAGACTAATTTATAAACCTCATTTGGTCTTACTTATTAAGCGGACACTCTCAAAGTAAGTCAGTGTATCGTCGCTCAAAGGTTGTTCATAAATTATAGTCCCATCGATAGGTCGTGAGTTTGAATCTCGCGAAGGGAGTGCGAGATTACGGATGCGCCCTGATGAGCAGTCCCACAATAGGACGAAACGGCTGTTTAGTGTTTGCAGATTTTTCATTGTGGTGATCTAGCTTCAACTGAATCATGATCTCAACTATTGTAATCATTATAATATCTAGAAAAACCTCTTTCAAATAAAATTTAACTTTTATTGATTATTCATATGAAGTATAAGAAATCAATTATAATTGAATATTGATTAAGTGAATCTATTAATAATTAAGAAGATTTAAGTAGTTTATGAAATTGTTTTGTTTTTTTTTGTAAGAATTTGACTTAATAAGCAAGTAGTTTATGTTTAGACGGTTTTGAATGAAATGGTATATTTATCATAGGATATCTTGGTTTCTGTTGTGGTGGTGATGGTGATGGTTGAAAGCATGGTTTTAACATTTCCAATAAATGTTTAATATCAATAATCATTTTAAGTAATTCTTCAAGTCTTTCTATTACTTGATCTTGATGATGATTAGTTGTAAAAGATACAGGTTTTAAAGGAGTTTTAAGTGGAGAATGTTTACTATGCAATGTATCATCATAACTTTGAGTATCTTTTTCTTCAACTTCAAGAAATGGTAAATCACCATGTGGAAACAGTTCATGCATATTTTTTATTGATTTTTCATTTGGAAGTTTTACTGTTCTACTACTAACAGTAATTTCTCTAGATACCCAATTATTGGAATCATCTTGTGTAGATACATTACTTTGTTGTTTTTGTTTATCTTTCTTTATGTTCAAGACATTGGAATCGACTTGTTTACCATTAATCGTATGAACAGGTTGTTTGTTGGTTGAACTTTCATTGATGTGATTATTCTCTTTTGCCTTATTTACAATTACATTTTTATTTCCATTATTGACATTTTCTAGTTTTCCATTTGTTTCAGTGTTTTCATATTCAACATGATCTGAAGTATTGTTTGTCATATTCTTATTGTCTATAACTACATCTATTAAGTCTTTATTAACAATTTTCTCAGCAGGAGTTATGAATAAATCAGGATTTTCTGAGTTCAATGTTTTACCTAATCGATTCATTACTGGACGGATATTTTTTATTATGATTTCTTCATCACTTTGATCTGAAGTTTCGTCATTTTGTATAGCCTCATCAACTGAAGGTGATTTATTCTTTTCAGTACTGTCATTATTATTATTATTATTATTATCACTGTTATATTGTTCTGTTGAAGTGGTATAATTCTCATTGTTTATCGTTGAGGATGTATTATTTGTTTCTAGTTCTTGATCATTATCATAATCTCCATAATGTTCATCATCGAATAAACTAGAATTTGTATTTTGTTGAATTTTATATTGATCTTTCAATGTAGACTGTTTATCACTTTGATTTGTTACTTTATAGCGTACTGCGTTATCAAGACCTAAAGATTGATTAGTTCTCATTATGGAAACATTATGGGTGGTAATCGGTGATGAAACAGTATTGTTTTTGATCGTTTCAACTGATACATTCATCGATTGATTCAATGTTTTGTTTTGACCATGTAGATTATGTGAAGGTAATTGTTGTTGTTCTACTTCTTTATTCAATTCATATGTCTTATTGATAGTCTGATTGAAGCTGATCATTTCATCAGTATTATTATCAGTGAATATAGTTTCTTCAGTATATAATGGAGAAAGTGTTGTGTTTTCATTGGGTTCCATTGATCTATTCAATGTAGTATTGATTTTATTATTATAATTATCTTGATCATTTTGTTGATCATTATTATTATTCGCTTCTTCATCGGTTTCATTACCGGGTTTATGGATATAACTTCGATTATCATAAAGATGATCACTTATATTTCTATCATTCCTATATATGGTATTAGTACCATTCTCATTCTGAAATTCAAAAGTAAACATAAAGTATAAGAATATATATAAATATATAGATGAAGTATAATCATTCAACAATAAAGAATCTTATAGAACAATTCTTGTGAATATATATTCAAGATATGCTATATGCTCAGAAGATTTATCCCTCCCCCCGATCATATTCTGGTGTGGGTTACTTATATCTACATAAGTAGTATATAACGGTGATCAGGCATAGAATTTACTTCAGTAGAAGGTCGATGAAAAAAGAACGGGAACGAAAGTCATTAGGTATGAAAACGCATAAACAATGAAATCGGAGACAATCGATTGATGTTTGCAACAGGAACAGTCAAATTTGATATGATAGATTTTGCGAATTCACGAGTTACTATATATATAGTTCTCAGATTTTATTGAGATGCTCTGTAATTATGTGCTCACATACATTCGATTGTCTCTCATTGGTGTTCTTGTTCACTACAATATCAGTTTAGATGTAAGATAACCATTATATAACTAATCAAACTATTAGTGTATTCACAATAATATGATAAGATCATTACTTGAAATAAGTATTTATGGGGGAATATATTTGGAACATTTGATAGTCATGTAAGAAGTTTTTTACATTACCATAGTGAATCAGAAGACTGTTAATAGTTAGCGAATGTATAATGATAACAAATGAAGAACTGGAAACTTTCCTCATGACATTGAATAATAGATGTATACCCTTGCCCCCCCCCAACCTCAAGTTGGCAATGGAATAAGATTCCTTTCCCAATAAGAGAACATACTTAAAGGCCCACGATTAGATATTAATATAAAAATGATTAGATTTCATTTCATCAATAGATGTTTAGAAACTATGGGTTTTTTTGATGGAGTTTTGTTCTCTGAGCTGGATGGTTTGGTCGTGGAGCTTTCATCGTTCTTCTGAACGACATCATCAGTACAAACTTCAGATAGAAGTGAAGTGTTCGAATTTCTCCATATGCGTTTTACAGCTTGTTCTGTGCACCTCGATGTTGATTGGTTCTTATTGACCTTAAATTTGTCATTGTTTACTTTTTTGTCTTGGTTTTGTCTCCTATTGGTTTGATTCTTGTTCCTATATTTGTGTATAAGTTTCCTGATTGGTTGATAAATTGAATTGATTTCAATATGTTTGTTGATTGCTGATTGACCTGAGTGCCAGGCTTCTAAAAATTCTCTTGTGTTTTTAGAGTTTCCTCTGTCCACGATTTCCACATTTTTCCAATCGAATGTGTGTCCGCAGTTGTCCACGTGTGTTGATATAAGTGAAACTATGGGTATTGTTAGTTATTCAACTTTCAATGGTATTAAGACTTAAGTGTTAGATTGAATTCTTGTCAAACATATTAATAAGTCATCAACACTGATGTTTAACTTTACGTTGAACATATTCCCTATAAAACTCTATCTTAACACATATGATCAAATTAGAAAGTTCTAATTTACAACTAGATTCAATTGAAGGGTTGGTTATTCCTTGGAATGTTCTTATGTGAACAGATGGATACTTAATGATCAGTTAATTGTGTAATTACACTAAGTGAATTGATATAACCTTTTAAATTAGATAGACAGTATTCAAGAAAATATTGATTTAGTTTCAATAATTCAATTGTAAAAGATTAGAATATCGATCAATGTGGATCATTCGTTATTAACATTTACTCATTGGACCAGTAAATGTCTAAAGTAATTGTTCAGCTAACTATTATCATTAAGGTGTTGTGGAAACTGTCAAGTTTTTGATTGATATCATGAACCGATTAATGTTAGACCACTATTGGAAACCTGGAAACACTAGACAGCCGTTTTATTTTCCTATTATGGGACTTCTCAGTAATGCACATTCACGATCTTACTTGTGGGATTCGAACCCACACGCGAGCACTTAACCACAAGACTACTGAGCCAGTCGATATCCAACGGTGTGAATGTTTAACTTTAACTAATCCACGATATTGAGTGACACATCCACCATTTTCATCAGTGAGTTACTATCTTCCAAGTGTATTTCAATTCTAACTAGATAAACTAAATTTGTTTATCAATCTCTTAGAGATAATCATAAATAGATTAGATTAGAACTGTAGTTATAACTTAATCATATAAAACTTGACTATCATTCGTTGTGAAACTATTATACCACACTATACAAGCATATTGTTGATAGATTAAAATACCCGGTAAATCTTTATATAATCAGAACAGTTTTCTTTTTTTCTGTCTCTCTCTCTCTCTCTCTCTTTCAAGAAACTCTATCAAACAAATCATCAATCGATATATTAGAAATCAATAATCAATATGATTTACCATATCAACTAATTTTCTACAATAATCTTCAGGATTTGTTTCAGTTATTTGATAATACATACATAGTTTACTAGTACAATATGCTCCATCTTGTTTACACATACATTTACGGCAACCATCATTAAATCTATATTATTATTATTGAATGAAGAAATAGAAATAAATTATTCTAATAGAATATACATTGAATAAGATTTCAATATAAGTAAGATTGAATTGAAACATTTAAGAAATGTGTATTCCCTTCACTCTTTAAGTTCTTATCCTTTGAAACATCAAGTAATTTTAACAATTGAGATCATGAATCAATTAAAGCTCGACTACCATGGAAAATCTGGAAGCAATGGATGGCTGTTTTGTGACTAGTGGAGTTCAATCAGGTCTTTTGTGAGATAGTAACTCACTGAAGACAATAGTGTACGGTAGTGCAATTTCGTGGATGAGTTGAAATTAGACATTAACACCGTTGGATACCGGCTGGCTCACTTGTCTAATGGTTAAGTGGTCGTGCGTGAGATTGATAGTTCCTGGGTTTGAATCTCCGTACGGAGGGCGGGATTATGGATGCGCACTGCTGAGGAGTCCCATAATAGAACGAAACGGCCATCCAGTGCTTCCATGTTTTTCCATGGTGGTGATCTAGCTTCAATTGACTCATGATCTCAATTGTTGAGAAAACTATTTGTTCTAACAGTAGTGATATATAATTACGTATATGTTTGTGAAATTTTAGGATAAATCAAATATAGTATTTGTTAAAACATCATCCATTTATATAACACTACACTTCTTAAACCTCCATATCCACTATTATAAAAATACATAGAAATGTTGAATAGCTAAGCCATTCAACTCTCTTAGTGTTTTGTATTTGATTAGAATTGTGTTGTTATGTGATTTTTGCAAATTGAATTCATTAGTTATTGGAAATCAATATCTGATCCTTCACATTCAATCTTTTCATCAGTAATGAACTTAGATGATCTTCCTGACCTTGGATCATCGTTAAAGTCCTCAAGGGTTTGGTATATATATACATATGTAATGTATCAGTATAGATTGTAATTGTCTATTAGAAATTGATAGACATATGAATATTATTATATTAGTGAGCTACAAATCATCTATGGTATTCTGTATAGTCAATACCATTGGATCATAACAAAAAGTATCATTTTCCCAAGTTATAACAAGTTTGTAATACTAAATTGTATTAGTCACCATTCATTTGGTATATCATGCATTTAAAAATTTCACAGTAAATTAACATCCTTCTTAAAGTTAATTAAAACTCGAATGTGATGAACTTGATTATCTCTTAGAAACTAGTTGATCATTCAAAATGTCAAGACATTCAGAGAAATCAAGTGTACTGTTTTAAAAGTTTTTTATGTCGAAGATGAAATTTATGTATATAGAAAGAATTTGGCAACTTTCAACTGAACATGAAGTAGGATTTCGTATAAATGATCTTTAGTTTCTGTCGTTATATTGCCCCCAAATGCCCTGATATGCACAAGAGTGGGGTGGGCCTGCTCTCTCTCTTTCTCTCTCTCGAAATGTTCTCATGTAACCATGCGTATATAGCCTCTAGCAGCGAAGTCCTACTCACTGCCTTCTCGTGGCGGGGATGTTGTTTACGAAAATGAGAGGAAGAAAAGCGAATGTGTGACGCTTTAACCGGATGCCAAACCAATGGTGTACATGGGCTATTTCCAGTATGCGGAAAGAAGAAATGGGGTATGAACCAATTTTTGGTCACCGGCTACCTTTGGACTACATGTTCTCACGATGCTCCATCGCCTTGTGGATTAGACCTTTCGGTCAAAGGCTCGGGATATATCCCGATTTGGGCAACTGAGCAGTATCACAGCTCACACACAAACAGAATGAAATAATGATATTTGCGGTAAATATTATTCTTTCTTCGATTAACCGTCCAACAAATCACATTTATTCAATGTCTTTTATTCACACTTTATGTATCCTTAGTTTTCCACTTATAGAACTGCTGACTTATAGTTAAAAACTTGGTTCTATGTAAATGTTCTCAAGTCACTGCCCAGTTGAAAATTTATATACTACCATTAAATACATGTAGCGCATATTTATTTGATACCCCCTTCGCCTCTATTCTACCAATAAATGAAAAAAGAAAAAAAAAACAAACATACTCAAGAAAGATTCTCTGAATAAAAATAAATGAAACATTCAAATAAAATTCATGGTAACAATCAATTGACTTACAAAAATCCAATATAATGTTCTATACAATAATTATCATGATCTAATATACAAACAATTTCCATATTACTACCATCTATTCTATTTTTAATTAATGTTTTATGTGTTATTAATAAGGAATCATGAATCATAATGATCAACATAATCAGTAGTATATTCATTGTATAATGAATTTTCCAATAATATAAATTCATTATATAATATATATTTTAATGATTAATTTATATTACAAATAATATTCTTTTAAAAATAATTTTATAGAAACTTTTGAGCAATGATTATATATATGAAATAATGAGGATTATTATTAGTAGTTGTTGTTCCCCCTAACCCTTACCTCTTCCCTACCCTCCTCATTCACTTCGTGAAAATTTGTTCAAGTTTTATAACTTCCCCCTCCCCACGCCCTTAGGGAAAAATAAATTCGTTTTTCTATATTCACTTGATTTGAATTTGTTTTTTCGTCTTCTTCTTTTAATTTACTAACTATAAATCATTGTTATTAACAATGAGAGGAACATAAAAAGAGCATATTCCATTGAAGAATAATAACAGATAAACATGAGAAGAATTAAAAACAATCATTGAATAATACTAGTAAGAAAGACTTAAGACGAGGTGGGTTAAAAACAATGCTGGTCAGTGGGACTATACCCAATTGGAAGTAACAGATATAACGAAGTAAATAAGTAGTTATTAACAAGTATAATTGTGTAAATCATAATCTTATTTGTCAACATAATTGAATAGGTTATTGGTTTGTTGAAAGAATGGTGTAAGAATGGTGTAAGAACCCTCAGTTTTCTGTGGTTTTTTTTTTTTTTGTTCACATTCAACACATTACTGGGTAGTCATAAATCATGATTGTCGTCAAGTTGTACTTTAAATATAGAAAAAACAAATAAAGAAAAAAAGAAAACATAAAAGAAATATATTCACAATAATACTAAACTATAAAATATATATATGTATATGTAGTACGAATACACTGTAATGGATTTATTGTAAAGGGGGGGGGGTAAAATATAAAAGAAAAGATTATGCCACTGTTTTTTTTTTTTTTTTTTTGCACCAATTCTTAACCATGTTATTCATGAGTACACATTTTCTTTCTTTTTTTTTTCTTTTTAATTTACAATATTTTCATTTAGTTTTAACTTTATCCATGTATTCATATTCATAGGGATATTTGGGATCTGTTATCCATTGATTTAAACTTCAAGTAATTGGATTCAGTTACAGGCTAACTTGTATCTATATGGAATATTGAAATATTTGTTGAAAAAAATCAATATTATCAATAGATCCATATGAAATCAATCATAAATATCCGTTATGAGAAAATTATGATAATCTTATGGTGCGTGTGTGTGTGTGCTACTTATATAGACATAAGTAGTAACTGAAGTTAGTCATGAATAGAATCTCTTCCAACACACAGAAAGACAAGAAGATCGAACAGTAAAGAATGAAGACAGCATTCAAATTGATATAAAAATACAAAAACAATGAAATGTGGTCCATTTTCAGACAATTAATGGTCATTTTACAAATTAAACATTTACCACATATGATTGTTAGATTAGATTAACAGGTTGTGTAATTTTTGTATCAAGTACATTCAATGATCCCTATTGGTGATCATGTTCATTACAATCTCAGTACCATTTATTATAATATGTTGATTGAATAAAGAATTCTTTGACAAACAGAAGAAATATTTTACAATGTTTCTAAAACAAGATAATTGTTAAAATTTGTTTGAAACAATTAATAGGTAATATAATCATCTTCCCAAATGATAGTTTGCAGAAATCATTTGTTCCTCATATACTCATATTTACTTCCTTACGCCTGTTAATCCTAATGGAGTATAAACCACCGATCAACATTTCGCAATCCACTCTGACGAGCATTCCATGTATCTAAATTAATGGTTATTCTGATTGTCAGAAGGATTTTAAGCATCGTGAATTCCTAAGGAATTCGGCTTTCATCATAAGACGTTATAAATCTTCTAAATGAAGACCTTGTAACCCCTAGAGCAGAGTTTAAATGGTTTGAATGATTTTTTTCTGGTTAGCGTTTTTTTACCGTGTTAGTTTTCTACGGGATGTGGTCGCTAACCCCATGCCCAACCCTCCTCCTTTATCTAGGCTTGGGACCAGGAGTGGCCCCCGGAGGGACTCCAGGCAGAGTTGTTTCTTAATTAATGAGACACAATCAATTTACTATATTGAGAATACAAATACTTTTAATATATATATATATATATGCTATACGAAAAATACTAAATAATAACCAAAAGTCCAACAAACGATCATTGGTATGAAAGCATCACAATTGATTGATCACTGGGTGGTGATCACTGTCATGTGTGTCAAGTCCTTATTGGTGCAGATCGAATGCTATCGACCATGTTTCAATGTGGCCTCCAGTCTAAGTGACTCCACACACGGATTAGATCCTGTGTCATCCAATTTCATAGTCAGAGACGTTACCACTGAGCTATCCGGGCCGCGACTGACTTCCTGTCGGACTGAGATGTGATCACAATTGATTGATCACTGGATAGTGATCAATGTCATGCTTGTGTGTTCCACAACCAGTTCCCTCAAGATTACAGGTACACCTTGCTGACGAGTGCCAAGTAGCACGAAACTCGGATCCAGGGTTTCCTGTCTACTACCTCAAACCACCATCTAGTATGAAAAGATACCCATTTATCTATCTTATGAAATTGAAGATCTCTTCAATAATATTGATTTATGATGAATGAAGATATTTCAAGGAACAAAATTTTCTTCACTGAAACTATAGGGATGAATTAATTCAAATCTAATAAAACTGCTACGCAAAAAGAGGAATTTAATTTCTGAAAACTTATGGGTTCTAAGTATCCTCCTTTATATGGATAACCTATAATTCATAAATTAAACATTCTTTTATGCCTAATTTTATTAATCAGTCGATCACCTAGCTAAGTGGTTAACATTATCATTAGATCCTATCCGAAGGTATTTATGTAAGTATTCTCTGAAAGACTCCTTTGTCACAGTCGGTTAATCAGATTATATTATTATCAACGGGAAGATATTGTGTTCTTTTGGAGTGAATTCCTTGTTCATAAATGTACCTTTAAAAAAACACTATTAATATTTTATGTGACTATGTATCTTTGATCAACCTTACATTACCTATTCCTTTAACAATTCCCAAAGACTTGTTATTATTATGCACTGATAAAGTTCGATTCACATTTGAAGGTCAATACTTTCACCAAATCGATGGATTCGCTATGGGTAGCCCGTTAGCACCATTATTAGCAGATGTGTTCATAGTACATGTTGAAAATCTAGCTAAAGACGTAATTGAAAGTATGTCTCTTTATAAGATATATGTGGATGATATCTTAATTATCTGTGAAAGGAAGATATGGATTGTTTATTGAATAAACCTAACACTTCTAAACCACATCAGTTTTTCATAGGAAAAAGAGGAGAACAACTAGCTTTGCTACCTTGACGTGGTGGTCGGGCTTGCCTATCGTGATGATGCAACTGAGCTATACTGGCTGGAACAACCGTTCCTCAAGGTCCTACCATGCCAGACAGGTCGGTTGAAGAGCGGCAAGACTAAAAGCAACAAAACCAAGGTCCGAAGGCGAAGTCGTACTGCTGACTGTACAGAGGTGTGACAGCAGTAAGGTGTTTCCTTCAGACAACCAGCATGACAGCGATGCTGCCTTCCCACAAGGAGGGGTGGGGTTAGAAAAGGTCGACCCTAAAAATGCACACCTCGCCTTATCCCACGGATATCCGTCTCCGGCGGTAAGGACTCAACAAGTACGGAGCTAACACAAAAATCACTCATAAAAAGGTCGTGTGTGACCGACCTCAAGCAGTTGTCCCTTGGGCACTGCGGTCACGCTCTCAGGTCACTATGACCACCTCTAATCCAATTTCCTTTTCAGGTACCTCCAGAAGACTTTCTTAGACATACTTATAAGTAGACAAGATCGTTTAATGAAACCATTCATTTTTGGAAAGCCAAATTGGACAAACCAGTACCTTAGTTATAATAGTTACTGTTCGGTGAAATACAAACGAGGTTTGGCAAGGGGCCCATTTAACAGGATTGATTGTATGTGCATAAACAACGCTATTGATGACAACGCTAGATTGATAAATAAAACATTGATGGAAAATGGTTATCCTGTAAAATTCATAAATCAATAGAAAGGTTATAATATAGTGAGATCCACTACAGTTTTGGCATAAAAAAAAAGCCTGTCTATATCACCTGAATGTTTAGATGTGGGTCAAATAGCTTTTTTTGAAATAAAGTCTCAAATCAGTTCTTAACAAAATGTACTACACAACAAAAGAAAAACAAGGTTCATGCTTCATCAAAAACTTAAAAGATTGAGTTGCATCCCATCGTAATTACCAGTGTAAACATGTGTCTGACCATATATACATAGAGAGAGGAGTAATCATGATCCCCACATTAGGGTGTCTGAATATGTACCTAAATGGATGAAATGGCAAATAATACCAAACGACCCAATCATAGTAGATCATATACATCTATCACCCTCTATTTCCAAAGATATAGTTGAAACATATCATAAGATTTATCTTAATACAACTTTTGTGGTGTTCTACCAGTGTTAAAGGGTGTATATGCCATGTCCTAGTGAAGATTACATTACGAATAACTTGTAACACCTATTAATTAGACTAATATTATCCATATATATTCTTATGGTATAACTATTCAGTAACTAGGTTATATATATATATATATATATATATATATATATATATATATATATATATATATATATATATATATATATTCCCCTTATTATAAGCTTCCTTTTAACTTATGGATTGTTATTATACGATTTATTGTTCTTAAATTATACTGTTTATTGATTACAGTTTCCTATGTTGGCCCACCAACAATTGAAGAAATCAGCATGGCTATCAGACAAATCAAGAGTGGCAAAGCAGCAGGACTAGACAGCATTCCAGCAGAGGCACTGAAAGCAGACGTAGCGGCAACTGCAAGGATACTCCAAACTCTCTTCAGAAAGATCTGGGATGAGGAACAGGGACCAAAAGACTGGAAAGAAGGAATTCTAGTCAAAATACCAAAGAAAGGCGATCTCAGCAACTGTGAAAACTACAGGGGAATCACTCTTCTCTCAATACCAGGAAAAGTCTTCAACAGGGTATTGTTAAACAGAATAAAGGACTCCGTAGACACACAGCTTCGAGACCAACAGGCAGGATTCCGTAAGGATAGATCGTGCACAGACCAAATCCCAACTCTACGGATCATTGTGGAGCAATCAATTGAATGGAATTCATCACTATATCAACTTCATTGACTACGGAAAAGCATTTGACAGAACAACAACATAGAAGCTTCTTCGACACTACGGCGTGCCTGAGAAGATAGTCAATATCATACAGAATTCCTATGATGGATTAAACTGCAAAATCGTGCATAGGGGACAGTTGACAAACTCGTTCGAAGTAAAGGCCGGTGTCAGGCAAGGTTGCTTACTCTCACCATTTCTCTTTCTCCTGGTGATCGACTGGATCATGAAGACATCAACATCTGAAGGGAAGCACGGGATACAGTGGATAGCTAGGATGCAATTGGATGATCTAGACTTCGCAGATGATCTGGCTCTTCTATCGCATACGCAACAACAAATGCAGGAGAAGACAACCAGTGTAGCTGCAGCCTCGGCAGCAATAGGTCTCAACATACACAAAGGGAAAAGCAAGATTCTTCGATACAACACAGCATGTAGCAATCCAATCACAATTGACGGAGAAGCTTTGGAAGATGTAAAAACCTTCACATATTTGGGCAGTATCATCGATGAATACGGTGGATCTGATGCAAATGTGAAAGCGTGGATCGGCAAAGCAAGAGCAGCATATTTACAACCGAACAACATCTGGAACTCAAAACAATTGGCAACCAACACCAAGGTCAGAATTTTCAATACAAATGTTAAGACAGTTCTACTGTATGCGGCGGAAAGCTGGAAAACTACGAAATCCATCATCTAAAAGATACAGGTGTTTATTAACAATTGTCTAAGCAAAATACTTCAGATCCGCTGGCCAGACACTATTAGCAACAACCTACTATGGGAGAGAACAAATCAGATCCCAGTGGAGCAAGAAAACAGGAAGATGCGCTGGAAGTGGATAGGACACACATTGAGGAAAGCACCGAACTGTGTCACAAGGCAAGAGCTCACATGGAATCCTCAAGGTCGAAGGAAGACCAAAGAATACATTACGCCGGGAAATGGAGATAGATATGAGAAAAATGAACAAGAATTGGATGGAACTAGAAAAGAAGGCCCAGGACTGCGTGGGTTTTAGAATGCTGGTCGGCAGCCTATGCTTCATTGGGAGTAACAGACGTAAGTAAGTAATGTTCACAGCCACATTTTGGCTAGATCTTGTATTTCCTATTTTATGATATGATGTGGTCATTTTTGGGCTTGTATATTTGGAATAAATAATTTCCATAATAGAAACAGTTGTTAGTGTTCTGGACTCAACTAGCAGGATTAGTAGTAGAAAAGACCAATAAGCATGCTAGGCTGCTAATACCAGTCGAACGTCATTGATTTAGCATAATGTTCAGATTGTATAAGTCATATACTGATTGATAAGTCAGGCTTTAATTCAAAACAGTATACAGTGGTCAGACGGATCCCAGTTAAGTATTCAAAAAGTTTGTTCTTACCTCAAACAGGCGTGATAAGTTTATCTTTGTCTCCTCTTACCTTCCATTTGTCTAGCCGACCGCTTACTTTTGTATATATGTGGTCAGATTGTTCAAAATGTACTACACTAATATATCATATAGTTCGAATAGTCTTCATCTTCTTACTATACTATCCAAATTTATTAAAGGGACTAATTGAAATTTGAAGAGATGATAATTCAATTAAGAACTTCTATCTTGAACATGATGTGAATTGAGTAGTAGTTCCTACCCTATTGTATAAAAATCAGAGTCTGCTTGAAATTAAAAATACTTTTGATTTATACCTGTTGAAGAATGCCACAGGTAATCGGAGTTTGAAAACGCTTTAACAAGTAACGCCTTCTAATATGAATCGTACCCACCAAGTGAAATCAAAAGACAGAAGCGAGGAGGTTCGAAGATATATTCGATAAGCTAACAATATATCGAGGATCGTCTGATCTAATCTGGCTAGCGATTGCAGTAGATGTTGAGCACGGCGTTCCCACTCGTGATCTGATGCGGATGCATGACTGAGAGCCTTCAGATAGATGAGTCCATTAAAACTAATGTAATCAGCATCCAATATCGAAAACTTACAGAGCTATTTACCTTGGGGATTTATTTACCGCTACACTCTTATCTATTTTATAGCCTGAAATTCACAAAGTTATTTGAACATCTCTATTGCTTCAACCCTATACTATATTTCATTGATTTTTATTGCCTTGAAGCAGACCTAATTCGTTGTGAACATTCATTTCTTTGACAGATCAATGTATTACTGGTTCTGACATAATAGTAATAAATACTAGTACATCTACAGTTTATTGCATCAATAATGAAATCATTTCATTGAAAGATTATTATTTCAAATGAATTCTTATCGGATTATATTTCAGATATAATGTGAATTCGGAAATAGTAATTACTTCGTGTAACTTTGCTTTCATAACATGTATTATTCGATCGTGTGGTGGTGTAGTGAACAAGAACACCAATGAGGGACAATCGAATGTATGTGAGCACATAATTACAGAGCATCTCAATAAAATCTGAGAACTATATATATAGTAACTCGTGAATTTGCAAAATCTATCATATCAAATTTGACTGTTCCTGTTGCAAACATCAATCGATTGTCTCTGATTTCATTGTTCATGCGTTTTCATACCAAATGAGTTTCGTTCCCGTTCTTTCCTTATCGACTTTCTACTGAAATACATTCTATGCCGGACCATCGTCATATACTACTTGTGTGGATATAAGTAACCCATATCACAGTGGTACAAAAAGACAATTTCTGATCAGTTCTGAGAAACGTCAGCACTAAATAAATATATCCTCTAAAGATTATTTCACAAAGAATATGCTGTAATGAATCTTTAAATGTTGAACACAATTGAAATACACTGGATATACGCTATAAATAAACTGGAGATTAGATTATATTGAACAGTGGATATCTCACTATTCGTATGGTTTGGAGTGCTATTTGCTTGAAGAACAGATGAATCTCAAACATAACTATAATCTTTGATTGAAATCATGAACCGATTGATGTTAGATCACCATTGAAAGTATGGAAACACTGGTGGTCTAACATCAATCGGTTCATGATCGCAATCAAAAACTTAACAGACTCCACAACCCATAAACTGTGAATAACTATAATCATTTAGTTGTTAATCTGTTGTACATTTGAGCCACTTCATTCACTAGAACCGTCAATTATTTATGATACTCAACTATGCTGGAAATAACTTTCTTTCAAACTTTTATGACGATGTTTAGTAGGTTGGCAACAATACTTGACAAAGACAATGCGTATATTACATTTATTTTCTAAGCCAAAAGTGAGCACAATAATATCGAAAATGAATGTTTCCTAAAATGGACAACTTTATTTATCAGGTTTACTACTACATGACAAATGAGTGTTACTAGTCGGCCTATGATGACCTGTATAGTATAGCTACAAAGTCTCTGGATGATTTGAACTTCAGTATCAAAATTGCAGATATATGTTTTGTCACAAGTCTAACTGACTTCGACCATAGAATTTTGAACTAATAAATCCTTAACTACTAATAGACTCCTAGTAGTAAAATGTTACACTACAAACTTAATTTTGATTAATCAATTAGACCCTAAGCAATCAAGCAAAATATCATTTGCATAATAAGTTTGTGAATATTGTTCAGTTCACGGTTTATATCGCAAAATAGGTTCTCAGTACGCCATGGTTTTTGGTATTAGTCCATGAAGACATTGATTGTTGGACTAAGCCACACTACCTTGTTGAGGTCTGCACTATTATCTTTATTTATTTATTTGAAGACATAAATATTGATACAAGGGGGCACCAAATATATATGCGCTACACAAAACAATGAGAATTTGAAGAGAATGGAAAAAAAATGTAAGGAGCGTAGGGAATAAAAGAAGAGAGAGAACAATAACGAACAGATAAGTGTAAGGTAGCGAAATAGTAGTAATAATGAGGGAAACAAAAAGGTACAATCACAAGAAATCTTTCAGTTAAGGAGGAAGCAACCACTTTTTATGAAGAAAGTAAAAGAAGGTTACAGCAGAATTGTCACTGGCTTCTATTCTGAGCCATATCTGATAATGTCTCTAGCCATTGTGTTGCACCATCTCTCCGACCCTAACCAGGGAGTCGTGAAGGACCAACAGAAGCCAGTCCTGTGCAGCTTTCTTTCATATCACGATACCATTTCATAAACTAACCACCTCTCCGTTTTTTTCCAACCAGTACCAGCTTCGGCAAATACTGCACGAAGAGGAATTTTCTGGGACGACATTTGTAGGACATGTCCAAGCCACCGAAGTCGATGTTTCAAGATGGTGATACCAACTGGGTTATCGTCTCTGTGCCCGAACACACGATGCCGAACCTCTGCATTACTGATATGGTGTTGCCACTGGATGTCAGCAATCCTTCGGAGACAACGATGATCGAACACAGAGAGTCGTCTAACATCCTCAACTCAGAGAGGCCAGGTTTTACAAGCATAGAGCAAAACTGCTCTCACCAACGCGTTGTAGAATCCTGCCGGTCTTGTAGAAGAACTTTGCACTTCAAATGTGTAAAGCACATACCATACCTACGGACACTGATTGCCAACTGATTAAGTGCGGATTACACGGCTTGGTTACTATCGCACAGTAAGACAATATCATCCGCATACTCAAGGTTGAGGACGACATTTGTAGGACATGTCCAAGCCACCGAAGTTGGTGTGTCAAGATGGTGACACCTTAACCAATGTTCAGACTGGATGACGGCTTGAAACAGTTCACAACGAAGCATGTAAATCCAGTCTCCCTTAAGATTCTAAGTTGCTGAATTATCAAATAATTCCCTTCATACTTACCGTTAATCCATATACTCTTTTCGAGGCGTATCTTCGATGACTAATCTTTCCTATCACCACTGATACTTTTACTGAGTCTATTTATCTGGGATTCTCCCTAAAAATTCCATCTCGCTATATTAATAGAGTTTAGCAGCTAGAGCCAATGTACACATGTTCCAAGTTTTGAGTGGTGTATGACCAACACCACTGCTTTTAATGGTTGTTTATTTAAAGAAAACCAGTTATTATTTAATAACATCTCACGATGACTTTTACCATGTCCAGATAATATCGGTCAACTGTTTTGTTTCAATGTGATATTCCTTACAAAAAGCTAAAATGGAAGGATACGTTATCAATATCAGACCTTGAAAACCATGTTGATTTAACGTATCCCATGAATGATGGAGCGTCGTGTTAATGTTTACTCTAGACTGAGATTTGAATTGCTCATATGAATTTATCTACACAAGCGTTGTCCATTTAACTTTTTACCGACTACTGTATTTACGAATTCCAGCGATTGACTACCTAGACGACGATCTGCAAGTAGACGTTGAGCACAATCTTTTTAGTTGAGGACGAGTACGGTCCATCCACCGAGTGAACAACCTTCACGCTAGAAGTGCAGAAATTACACTAAAAAGAACAGATACTACACATGATCTTAGCTCAGAGAGCCGGGAAGCGTAGTGGCCCCCAAATGCCCTGGTACGGCCGAGAGTGGGGAAGTTCCGCCCTCCCTCTTAAAATGCTCTTACATGGCCACGCGTATATAGCCTCTGCCTTTTCGTGGCGGGGGTGTTGTTTACGAAATTGAGAAGACGAAAAGCGAATGTCCGGCGCTTTAATCGGATTGGTGCACACAGATAGTCCACCTAGGAGAGTTGGAAAACTCTGATTCCAAACCAATGGTGTACATGGTCTCCAGGATCCTGAGGAAACAAGTGATGTATGAATTTATTGTTGGTCACCGGTTGCTATGGGACTGCATCTCCTGACGTTGCTTCACTGCCTTGTGGATTAGACCTGTAGGTCAAAGGCTCGATTCGTGGCCCCTTAAGAAAACCAGACAAACGTTTAGTTAGACAAATAAGACCCGGCCAACTACGTACATAACACTAGTCATTAATTGGTGTTTTTATTGTAAATTTAAGTTACCTCAGTCCACAGTATAATCTAGTAGTATAGTATACTTTCTTCCTGCACTATATCCTTATACACAATCTTTCTCTTATATATTACTACCATTAAAGTGACTGCTTCCATGAATTTGGTGTTCAACTTGTGCTAACGAGGTAATGGCAACTTGGACTGATGCAAATATGTGCCTGGTCCTACACTGTAGCTGACAGCATAATCTATATACCACAAATTGAATTCAATGAAGTTACAAGGCTCACTACTAGATGTGATCATTACCCAGCACCATTGAGTACTTCGCTGTTGCACTACTTGCAAGAGACCAAGTCCTTAGCAATCAATGGATGCATTTTTCTAATGAAACAGGTTATATCTATATGGTAGTTTGGGCATTCATTAGCTTGCATAAGTCTCTCAAGAATCCGTCATTCATTCATGGTAACTGAAATCTTCAAATAGATTGACAGAGTTCTTAACTAGACGTGTTATCGTAATTCAGCTTGCAGGATTAGCGAATACTTCTCATCCCTAATTGAGCTGATAGAAGTGAACATATTCTGGAGTTTTCGCCTACATGTGTGGTCTGAAAGTTGTTATTCAAGGATAATTAATGGGTCCGCGGAATACTAAACAGTGACGATGGTGTTCATGTGACCGTATGCACATGTATTGACTACTCGAAACCTTCATTATTATAAGTTAGAGCAACCCAATAAATCCACGGACATAATATACACCCTCGCAGCTATACTTGATACTCGAATATGTAGTGATGCACATAATTCGAATGATTATACCGATTGGACACCTAGCCATTGAAAGGACTTACACGAAGAAAAATCGGCTACACGAATTAGTACGGAAAACCAAAGTCGAATGCGGAGACGTAAAGCGAAACGTGCGTCAGTAGATATGAGTAGTCTACTACCAAATGAAACAGCGTGTTCCATGGGGAGTATTATGAACCAAGTGTTTTGACCCGCTTTTCTAGAATCCATTTTATTAAAATTGAAATGTCAGAGGTTGGACTGACGACAGGTTCGTGTTCTTCGTGGCCCGACACCAATCCTTCAATTCTTAACCTACGATTGTCTGAAAGTTCGGGTTCACTTCTTAAGTACAGAACTAGTGCATCGTAGCCCACGCGTTCAGAAAAAAAGACCACCGGGTAGGGTGGTGTGGCTAGAGATTACTTAAGTAAGCTAGCCATATAGATACCTCATCTTCCGATTCAATTATCTGAAAAGATTATTCCTGAAAGTAAATAGTTGTTAGCGGTCTACAAAACCGACGTTTGAACAAATGAATTGCAAGGACTGTGGTGGTTACAAGTACATACCAGAGATTTCGCCGCAAAACGTTCAGAACCTCACAACCGATCCTAACCACTAAACCTAATAACTTGGCGGTTTAGTCACACGGTTGTCAACCGATAAATTCCAACATTTCGCGGTGCAGAACACGAGTACCTGACAAAGTATATTGTGATGAGGTGCATCAAACTGACTGACAACTAGTGACCCTTACTGGATGGTGGTGGTGAAAGATGATCACTGACTCCTTACATAGATAGATTGGTACGTGTACATAAAAAGACGTCTGATAAGCATTGCACTTGAAACAAAAGTCGATGAAAATACTTATTCTCAAGTAATCACGATTAATATAGGACAACTACAGTATGAAACCTGAACATAAACATATACAACTTATATTATCGAAACCCCTACAGTACTCAGATAACAGATACTTCAAGTCATGCTACCGAAATTCCATACTCGTCAAGACACGCGAATTTATTTGATGCAGACGTATCTTCATGATACAACCCAAGTATGGATACAACAGCGGACAATTACAAGCTAACCCAAGAATATGAATTAAAAGCCATATTACCATTTTGAAATCTATTTCGCACTAACGCTTGGCAGGCTTTTTAGAAGACGTTGACTTGGCTGAACCAGGTTCAGGTATTTTAGGTGGAGCTGCAGGAGTTTTAGCAGTTGGGATTTTTGGTGGCGGTGCAACTTTCGACGACACTTTCGGAGGTGCAGGTTTTGTTGGAACTTCTACCTTTGCAACAGACGGCTGAGACGCCGGCGTAACCACTGGTGCTGGTGCAGGGGCCGGAGTTGTCTTAACTTCTACCTTAGGTTTAGTTTCCACTGAAGGGGTGGGCTTTTGAGCGACTGGAGTTGTGGGTTTAGCAACTGCTGCATTAAAGCTCTCAATAACGGCCTTTTTTCGCTCTTCGAGCCTGTGTTGACGGTTTATCCGTGACTCACGCTTTCTCTGACGCAGTGCTTCTGCCTGATCACTGAGTTGTTTTGCTCGGAGCCGTTCTGCCTTTTTCTTGTGAATATGATCAATGAGAACTCTTTTATTTTTAAATTGGTTCCCTTTGCATTGTTGATATAATAAGTGGTACCTTCAAAATATATGATTAATTTCAGGACTTACAGATGTTTATCGATTTTGTGAGCCTCTCGATACCGTTTCAGTAAACGCCTAAGAACTCTCATTCGCCTCATCCATAGGACTTTCTGAGGCATGCGTGCATCTGCTGTACCTTTCCTTTTACCCATTCCCGAGTGACGACCTTTTCTACGTGCAATCAAGTTTTTTCTGCACCGAGAACGAGAATGGACTGTCACGGGTTTTCGAATAATCAAGTTATCTTTAAACAACTTCCGTATCATTTTACGCGAGTTGGCATTTTGAATGGTCGCAGTTTCATTGGGATCTAGCCAAATCTTTTTTTTTCCACAACCGAATACAGCCGAGGCCAGACGCTTTTGAGCGCGTAGATTGCTGTGGATGAAAGCTCATAAAACATAGCTATACAACGATTACCTCATTTCACAGCAAGGATCTCGTGAAAGCCGAAAAGTGCGCCTAAAAAATCAGTAGAGTTGAAAAACACTGACTACGGTTCCAATATTCAAAACATTTAAACATCTAGCTAGTAGCTACAAATGATATTTTACAGCTATTTAGTGTTGTGTACACATTATGTTTTTATGTATGCATAATTTAGAGAGGCTTGAATTTTCAACTTGAAGTTAAGGGAGTTCAAAAAGCAATGGTTGATCCAAGAGCCGATACATCCATCATGTCTGAAATCCTTGTTATGAGCCTGTATAGACTGATTGATTTCTTTACGCTCGCTTTTCGATTAGGATTGGTCTTGGGCTTTTGAAAATATTTTGTCTAAATTATGCTAAGTTAGAGAACACTTTAGACTGTTAGTTATCTCCCGATTTCACCAAAGTATTTTGAGTCTTTAGACTCTTGATAGGTGGAATTCCGTCCTTTTATTACGACCGTCTATTTTTACACACATGTAACCGATAAAGTACTTTCATTGCGTTGGTCTAGGCAAACCTTCATTATGGTAGACCAACCTGTTGCTCCTAAGTTGAAGATAGATTGCGATGTGATAATTGTAATAGTTGTTGCTATAATAAATGCACTGATTTGACTATTGATACCTACGAAATGTTTTAAGAGACAGTCACCATTTCAGTGAGAAGTATTTTAATGGTTGAGATCATGAATCAGTTGAAGACAGACTACCATGGAGAACCTCGAAGCCTTGGGTGGCCGTTTTGTCGCTTATGATCACTCCTCAGCAGTGCGCATCCGCGACCCCGCCCTGCGGGATTCGAACCCAGGACCATTGATCCGGCATCCAACTTCAACCAATCCACGAAATTGAGCAACACATCCACTATTGTCATCAGTGAGTTGCTATCTCACGACTGACCCGGTTGAACTCCACTGCTCACTGCTTCTCACTGAAACTCCAAGATATACCTTTTGAAGCCAGTCACTAGTGAGTATATGTTGAGTAGTATTAGAAAGGGTTTTGTGGAGATTGCAGTAACTTAAATAGTTGTAGTAAATAAATCTCTCTGTACACAGCTGCCGCTTGAATTGTTGACAATTCGACTAAAGCCCCGAGATAGTGGGGTACTCAGTTCGTGAGAAATAATTCTATCGTATAAGGAAGACCCCGTAGGCTTACTTATCAACATGCCTCGCAGGTGGGGTGGACTCGTTTGAGACATCTTTTTAGTAGCGTGTAAAATACTGGAGTGAAGAAACACTCGTAGACGAACCATTACCTCCGAAAAAGAAATGTTATAACATCAAAGACAGTAGCAAACAAGATTTATGCCCCTTGCGTTTGGTTGTGAAGTGAATCAATTGACACGAAATAGATCTCGGAAGGCTTGAAAAACCACATCGAACTCCTCCAGTCAACGCGAGTTCTGTAAGTAGCATTACGTCAATAGTTGTAAGGCAGTTTGGAGGGCTAAAACACAGCTTCACTGTCGTAGCCTCAACTTTAGTGGAAAGAAGGACAAGGGCTTGGATGAGATCAGAGCAATCCTTGCGATAGCAGACCTTTAAGGTAGGTGCGTTGCACATAAAAATTGTCAGTTAAAAGGAGCCTAAGGTAAACTTCCATCGTAACCTCTATTAAATAAGCTACTAATATTGTTATCACTAGTAACGACACCTGGCATTAGAACTCATTAGTTCCGCAGGATAAGAATACAATCTTTATTTGACACTATGGAACGAACGCATTTTCTTAATCACTGGACGTTTCTACTATAGAGCCTGATTTATCATTAAGGAATGCTTATTGATCTTAGTTTCAAAGGCGGTATTAAACGAAAGTCTATACAGGACTGAGTAAACAAAGGACGTCATAACGGAGCCAAGATTTTTATTCTGAAGTGTTTTCCTTCTATAACATTATCGCGGCCAGTCGATATCAAAACCAGTGAGTATGGAGCACAAATTTCCAAACAGAACTAATTGTTAAAATAATACTTGTAGTCTACTATACAAGAGGACCTAGCATAGTAATTTAATGGACACGAAAAATCATAGTATCACAGTAAACTCTCAATCGATGCCGATATCTGAAATAAGTGATAGAGAAATCTAATTAATAGGCTTCGTTGTGCTTTGAGTACTCTGATCACGTGTTAAAGTGACCTCACAGGATTCTGACGATATTTTTTCTGTTCCTCAACCACGGTTTTTCATAGCCTAATACCGTGAGCTAGGATAACTGCACATCTGACCTGAATGGTTTCTGAGTAGATTGAGTGAAGTTTTGAAGGTAGTAATTTCCAAACAACAATATTAAATAGCGAATACAGTTTATGAACATATCTTAAGTTTAATTTTTCAATGTGCTCGCTAAGTATAATAGTTATTAAAATAATAGTGTGCTGCCAAATAATACTATGTTACACAAAGCATAAAAGCTTGCAGGGAATGGCAGCTGTGAAATTTTCACTATCGTTATCACAAACATCCAGCAGTGTTTGCCATACATACATCCGAATTACTCTAGGATGATACTTAACTATATGCAACAGCGAGATAAAGATATTTTGCTTCTGTAGTGTACTACTACTATACGATAAAACGAACAGTAGACTGGATTGTTTATGAACAACATGATATTCTGAATATTGAGCATTTGAGATCAGACAAAATTACAAACAAACAAACAAACAGTACATTATGAACGCAGATAAATAGCCGACGTGTGGCGAGTGTGATGAATGACTAATACGTGTTCTGTATAACTGAATACTTCATGTTGTTCAAATCTATTGTGACAAAATAATACAGTTTCATCTTGCGTACTTCAAACTCTGGCTTGTCAAAATTCTAAACTGGTCGGGATAATAATAATTTTGTTAGACTGTTTCGGATTTGGAACAACATAATCAGACAATTCAACTCAAAGGATAAAGACATCGAAGTATACACACTAGCCGAAAATATTCCCTACTATTATCTTTAGTCTCATAGAGCAATGATACAAGCAATAATGAAGCAACACAAAGGTAAGAGTCTAACATCAAAGAAGGAGGAAGACTGACCAACCAATGTGATGATGGGGAGATAATCTCAGTTCACTCATGTCTGTTATGCAGAACGTTTCGCTAAACTATGGCCCTCTGTGGTCTAGCAGACTGTAACTAATTATTAGAATTGATGCCAATTTTCTGTCTCAAATATCTCTTGGACTCGTGATCGCAACTTTAAATTGATTTCACTCTCTGCCCAGAAGCCTTACTATAAGCTGGGTACGACAATTACGCTGAAAAGCAGTACGATAATTACTTCACAAAATTGGTAGTAGTAAGAGGAACGATAATAACTGCCTTGGAAAAACGTCATTTGTGTATCAAAACAATTTTTTTAACATGACATATTTAAGTAATCTACATAATCCTACACTTTCAGTTCTTTTGAATTCCTCCATTTATACAGCTCTTTATTAATTTGTTACCATAATGTTGGCTTGTTTTCTTCATTTCACCCACGTACGTAACACATGAACGTCTTGTTTTCAATTATCCTCTGTCACAATAACAGAACTCCGAAATATTACTATGTTTACGTATTACATTGATCTCATCCTGTCGTGATTAATCTGGATACCTATTTCGGATTACAGCAATCATAACTGCAATTATTGATCACTTATAATTTTACATCATACGGTCAAAAGGAAACTCGAACACACTTACTTCTGGTAGTTTAAGTAACGTCCCATATATTTTCCTCTGTGTTTATTTTTTATTTTGCACATTGACGAACTAAACTTTATTTAATATAGCTTTGTCATTATTGTGGAATTTATGTATTTGGTACACTATAATCTTCATACTAAGAGTATTTTGATCGTTCTTGGCTTTTCTACTCGCCTAATATGTCATCTGTGATCTCCCGATCTAGTGCAAAGAGAAAGAAAAGATATATCTGGTCCAAAATCATTTAGCATTCTATACATCAAAATCAGACAACCCCTCAATATTTAGTAAGACAGACTAAAGAGGTTTAGATTTTCAAGCCACTCTTGTACGGCAAATCCTGGAGTTCTGGAATTGCATAGGTAGCTGCCCTCCATACTTTTTCCAGGATATCAGAGTCAGCTTTTAAACAGAGGCATGTAGTCTGAACGCAGTTCTCAAGCTTGGTTCTCACTAAGGTTGTGTATACTGTGGTGAACATGGTAGTATCTAACTTAGTGAATGTCTGTTTTAAAGCATAAAGAGTTCTAAACCTCTTAGCTACAACCCCTCGGAAGTTGGCCATGGTCTTAAGATCATGACTCACTGTCGCCCCAAGATATTTTTGAGACCATACCACAGATATGGGCACTTCCCCTATGCTGTACCTATTTACCTTTGCATGTAGACACATTTGGCCGTGTTGATAGACATCATCTGTTGGAAAACACTATTTCTATAAGTACCATTTTACAAGCTTATCAGGCAGTTACAAATTACGAACTGTGGGTAAGGCATCGATGCAGTGCTTTAATTGACTATAGTATAAAGTATAGTTTGCCTATTAAAGTATAAGCATTAAGAGGGGTGTAATGTAGGATAGTGGTTTAATAAAACGGGCGGAAAAGTATGGAAGTATATGGGTTGTAGATTAGGTAACGAGTGGAGGAATAATATTAATTGCTAGTCAACATGGTGTGCAGAAGAGTAAAAAGCAAATAAGCAATAAACAAGGATAGACTCACACTAACTTGGTGCTGATGTTCTTTTGTGTTGTCCTAACCAGTTGATGGGTAACAGGCTTCAAAGATGCAGTTCGATCGGTAGTAGGCAGTCGATTGCGCGGTTCTCTTGACTTTTTAGGGTAGTAGTGTGTCTCTTAGCGACCGAGTTTAGTTGGACAGTATCAGCAGGTCCAGTGAGTTACCTGTCTACTTTAAGTGAAGAAATAGAGTGGAGAAATCTTTTACGCTGGACACAGAACAATATATTTATTATGAGTAAAAGTAAGTTGCACAGAGAGACCA